CCCCCGGCCACTGCAGGCGGGGGGGCGGCTCCTCCGAGCTCTGCGCGATCAGCCGTCTCCAGCGCTGCAGTGCCGCCGGGGACCTCTGTCGCCCGCCGTGGTGTCATTCCGGAGGAGCGGAGTTTGCTCATGGGTTTTAACTGTGTTTACTTCAATGTGATTTTAGGAAGTGGAAGCGCGGACGATCTAAGTGTCTTATATTCAAATAGAGCAGCGTGTCACCTCAAGGAAGGAAACTGCAGTGGCTGCATTGAAGACTGTGACAGGTAAACGGCCGTTTTCCGGTTTGTCCCGCGTTGTTAAATCATTTCGAGGTGGTGGATGCGGTAATTACCGCCTTCTGAGTTTTCTGCATGACTCATTTCTTAAGAAGTTGTAAGGTATGTTCATTGACTGGTACCATAAATTCTCTTTAGCCGATAGGTGCTATACTATAGGGAGACAGTCATAGAAGGTTGTGCACACTTTTCAAATCTCCACTGCTGCCACCTCCCGTGCTCTTTTCATGCCAGGCCCGGCCTGCAGGAGAAAACTTGCCCCTACCCTCCCTGCCTCCTGCAGTCCACCCTGGCATCAGAACTTTTCTGGAAACAGTCTTGCTCACACTGTTTCAAACAGGTGTTCCCTAGCTCAGCACGTTCTCCCAGACATTTCTAAGCTGCTCTGTCACCATATTGCTCCCCAGACAAGCCTTCTGCTCCCCTTCGGCCCACTGTCTTCAGTGGGCTCTGCACACCTTTGCTTCTGAAATTTCTGCTCAGCCACCCCCCCCCCCCTCCCCCCACCTTCAGCCTCCCTGGTCATCTTCAGCCTCTCTGGTCATCTTCAGGTCTGGACACTTGCACTGTCACTCTCTTGCCTGCAGGTGCTTGTGTCCTCCCCGGCTTTGGATTGCAAGCTCTGTGCGGTCAGGAGCCATGTCTTCTACAGCTTTGCATCCCCCAAGCACAGTAGTCACCATGGTGCCCTGCCAGTTACATGCTGAAATAGAGGAAACACACTTTCATGAATAAAAAGTATGGTTTTCTTTTACCATTAAGTAGTCAGCCTTCCTCAGGAGCCTTTTGGAAAGAAGCTATTATTAGTGAATCTAGAAAATAAGAAGTCATATGTCCTGGTTTGACCTTAACATTCCTGGATTACTCCTTTTGTCTGGTATAATTATTCATATCACCCCCTTTTGCTCTCAGAAGCCCCCGTTTGGACAGTAACTTAATTGGACACCCTGATTATAAGGTGAACGATTCATTTTTTTTTCAATGGTATTATCAGTTTAATGCAATGGGTAAAAACTTGTTAGTATCTGTGTCTACATTTTTTTTATCCTCACCTGAGGATATGTATATTGATTTTAGAGAGAGAGGAAGGGAGAGAAAGAAACATTGATGTGAGAGAAAAACACTGAACCTGTAACCTAGGTATGTGTCCTGATTGGGAATCTAACCCTAAACTGTTTGATATAAAGACAATTCTCCAAACAGCTAGGCCAGCTGGCCAGGGCTTTGTCTACAGTTTAAAAAGAAGGTCTTTGCTTGTGTGACTTAGTGGTTGACCATTGACCCAAGAGGTCCCAGGGCCGGTTCCCAGTTGGGCATATGCCCAGGTTGCGGGTTCCATACCTGGTCATGGCGCGCATGGAAGGCAGTTAATCAATGTTTCTCTCTTTTTCTCCCTCCCTCTCTCTAAGCATGTCCTCAGGTGAGGATTTTTTTTTTTTTAAAGGTCTTGGTGCTCGGATTTTTTGCCAATTTTACATTCAAATTTTAAATAAAATAATATTTATATTCATTCTGGCCTGACTTTAGACCTCATCCACTATTGTGCTAGTTCACATTAGCTAATTGTTACATTTTCAGGAATTTGTGAATTGGTCGAAGTCAAGTGGGTAGCTCGAAGTCTGCCATGGTGCAGTACTAATACCATGAAAATTGGCAAATGCCATAAACCTGGGTTTTTTTTTCTCCAGGAGAGCTGGATGTTAAACATTTACCACTGCCCATAACTAACCAACAAGACCACGTGAATTTGCAGAACATCAGGCGCACTGCGATCTGCAGCCAAGAACCTGTGAGAGGGCTAAAATAATAATAATACTTTTCCTTCCACCACCTAAGTTCTAGCTGGGCTCATAATCAAAGTAACAGAGGAATATTAATAGGAGAAAATCAAATTTTAATACATGTGCATGGGAATTCACATACGCATGAAAATTCCAAAGAGACAGTGAGGTAAAATTTGGTATATATGTAATTTTTGACAAAGAAAGGAGGGGAACACACATGGCAGGTAAAGATGTGCTAGACAACCCAGAAACAATGAGATGTGGGGGTGGGGGGATCTAGTAAACAGGCCCCTGCTTTAGGCCTTTCTGCCGATCATCCTTCATTCAGATTGGGCCAAGGTGACTATGGGCAAGATTTCTTTCCTGGAGCAGGTTTTTCTATCTGAATCTCTTGGGCAGGAAAGGAGGGAAGGATCAAAGGTTCATTTCTAATTCATTTTTTTCTTAATAGCCAGCTTTTATAAAAATATGGTTTTATTGATTTTAGAGAGAGAAAGAGAGAGAGATAGAAACATCAATAATGAGAGAGAATCATCAATTCTGCTGCCTCCTACATGCTCCCCACTGGGGATCAAGCTGAAACCTGGCCATGTGTCCTGACCAGGAATTAAACCGTGACCTCCTGGTTCATGGATAGATGCTCAACCACTGAGTGACACGGGCTAAGCTTTTTTCCCCTCCTAAGGACATGCTTAGAGAGAGGAAGAAAGGGGGCGAGAGAGACACACACACACACATCTTTTGCCTTCAGTATGTGTCCTGAACGATTGAACCTGTAACCCAGGTATGTGCCCTGACCAAGAATCAAAGTGGCAACCTTTCACAGGACAATGCTCAGTCAACTGAGCCACTCCGGCTGAGCTCAAAATCACAGGTTTTTGGGTGTCAAAAACATTGTTTCCCTTCAACCCTTTCCACTTAGGTGTTTGTTGCTAATACATCACCCTTCAGACTTGTCTTAGGTATTCCCTACAGTGAGTGAAATCTAGGACTCTTTATTTAAAATCCCAGTACCTGTACAGACAAGGCTACTGTCAAACAGTGGACTCACGTTGTCCTTAAGTGAGATTGTGTAAGGTGGCAGGCATTTTCTTGTTAAAACTTGTGTTTCATTGTAGACCCAAGAGGAGGTGAAAGATGGGACTCCAGCCATGGTGTCCAGGGAGGCTAGAATGGAGGTTTGTCTGAAGGGACAGCCGGCCTGCTGGGGAAGGAGATGGGTGGAGCTTAGGTAAGGTGTCCTTAAAACATTGTCTTCTGGGCCTAGGAATCCAGCTCTGTTGGTCAGTACTGACCTCCAGCATAAGGGGCATGGGTGGTTTCACTCCAGAGCATTGGTTCTCAAACTCTTTTTGTTGTTGTTGTTGTTTTATATATTTTATTGATGTTTTACAGAGAGGAAGGGAGAGGGACAGAGAGTTCACCTCCTACTGGGGATCAAGCCCGCAATCTGGGCATGTGCCTTGATGGGGAATTGAACTGTGACCTCCTGGTTTATCCGTCCATTCTCAGACACTGAGTCACACCAGATGGGCAATACAATCTTGATTGTATGTTCTATTTCAGAATATAATGAACTACTTTAAGTAGTGAAATAGTAGCTTTACACAGTTACTTCAAACAAAACCAGTGAACATAACCTTGAAATACATCTCTAGTGATACTGAAAATACTTCATAGAGTAGTCCAAGATTAAAATTCACGGCTTAAAGAAGTCATTGTATGACTGGCTGGTGTGTCTTGGTGGTTGAGCATCAACCTATGAACCAGGAGGTCAAGATTCATTTCTGGGTCGGGGCACATGCCTGGGTTTCGGGCTTGATCCCCAATGGGGGGCGTGCAGTAGATAGCCGGTCAATGCTTCTCTCTCATCATTGATGTTTCTAACTCTCTCCTTTTCCTTTCCTCTCTGAAATCAATAAAAATATATTAAAAAAAGGAAGTCATTGTATGCTTCCTTGATGACCTCTGGTCTATTTTTGAGGCTCTTTAGAAGCAGGTGAATAATAAAAAACTGTATTAAGTTTTGGAGAGCTAATTTTCAAACAGCAATGCAAGTTTTTGTGGTTCTGTGCTAAGGTGCCTTATTAAATACATAGGTGCAAATAAAAAGTTTCCCTTTTAATCCTTCAATAACAATCTGTTGAAAGCCTGCTCTGTTCCTGGTGCCGTGATGGGCTCTATTAGGGTGTGGGGGGCAGGGGGAGGGTTTGTTAGGGGTGAGGATATAGTGGGGTGAGGGCAGGGGAGGACGTAGAAAGAGGTGCAGAGGTGGGTGAGGCGCACTGTCTGCTGGCAGGGAGCTCAGGTTTCAGTGGGGGAAGAGCAAATGCATGCCAAAGGCTTTGGTCCTGGTTTAAAAGAAAGGAAGTAACCACAGATTTGATTGCTCTGCTACTCAGGGTTTGCCTTTCTGGCTTGTTGCCAGGTTCTGAAGATGTAATGCCAGGTAGGTGTGTATTTGAGTCCAGTGCTGCAGGGTACATTCAGTTAGTATAAGTTAAAGAGTAACTTTCAGACAAATGACATGTAATATTTTTGTCTTCTTTAGGGCTCTGGAACTTCATCCATTCTCCGTTAAACCTCTTCTTCGACGAGCAATGGCCTATGAAACTCTAGAGAAGTATCAGAAAGCTTATGTGGATTACAAAACGGTGTTGCAAATAGACTGCGGAATCCAGATAGCCCATGACAGTATTAACAGGTAACGTGATCTGAGGGTTAGATGTTTCCTAATGGAATGAGATTCTTTTTCTTCCCCTCCTTCAAGAATGGTGTCAGAGCGTACGAGTGTTCTCAGTGGCTGACTTTACACGAGTGATTGCTGCCTTTCCCTCCATCCAAACCAAATGGTTCTCTTTCCAACTTAATTTCTAAGTATCCCATAATACATTGAGTTGTCCTCGAATAACCTTGAAACTATTTTTTTTTTGCAATTTTAAAAATTAATTTTAGAGAGAGGAAGAGAGAGAGCGAGAGAAAGAGAAACAACCAATGTGAGAGAGAAACATTGATAGGTTGCCTCCCACATGCACCTCGACCGACCTGGGGATTGAACCTGAAACCTGGGTATGTGCCCCAACTGGGAATTGAAACCACCACATTTTGGTGTATGAGATGATGCTCCAACCAACTGATCCACACCAGCCAGGGCCTCTAATACCTTTATATATGTTTCCTGGTCCATTTATTGCTATTCAGTGAATATTCTTTTTTTTTTTTTAGTTTTTTTTTTTTTATTGTTAACAGAACTGTATTACAGATGTCCCCCCATTTCCCCCACTCCTTTCCCCACCCTCCACTCAGCCCCTGCCACACCCCAGGCCGCACCCCTATTGTCTGTGCTCCTGGGCTATGCATATAAGTTCTTTGGTTAATCTCTTCTTGTCCCCGCCCCCCACCTTCCCTCTGTGAGCTGTCAGTCTGTTCCATGCATCCATGCCTCTGAATCTATTTTGTTTGTCAGTGTATTTTGTTCATTAGATTCCACATATAAATGAGGTAATTGATGTTATCTGACTTATAAATGAGATGATGTGATGTTGTCTGGCTTATTTTGCTTAGCATAATAATCTCTAGGTCCATCCATGTTGTCCAAAGGGTAAAAACTCTTTTTATAGCTGCATAATATTTCATTGTGTAAATGTACCATAGCTTTTTTTTGTTTTGTTAACCCTCACCTGAGGATATTTTTTCCATTGATTTTCAGAGAGTGGAAGGGAGGGAGGAAGAAGGGGAAGAGAGAGAAACATTGCTGTGAAAAAGACACATTGATTAGTTGCCTCCTGCATTTACCCCCGACCAGGGTAGGATTCGAACCTGCAACCCAGGTACCTGGAATCGAACCTATAACCCCTTGGTTTGTGGGCCAATACTCTAACCATTGAGCACACTGGCCTGGCCTGTACCACAGCTTTTTTATCCACTCATATACTGAGGGGCACTTGGGCTTTTTCTAAATCTTAGCTGTTGTAAGTAACGCCTCTATGAACATAGGAGTGCATATATTCTTTCTGATGGGTGTTTCTGATTTCTTGGGGTATATTCCTATAAGTGGAATTGCTAGATCAAAAGGCAGATCTATTTTTAATTTTTTGAGGGAACTCCATCCTGTTTTCCATAGTGGCTGTACCAGTCTGCATTCCCACCAGCAGTGCACAGAGTTCCCTTTTCTCCACATCCTCTCCAGCACTTGTTTGTTGATTTCTTAATGGTAACCATTCTGGCAGGTGTGAGGTGATATTAATTTGCATTTTTTCTGATGACTGAGCATTTTTCCATATATCTCTCTTGGCCATCTGAATGTCCTCTTTGGAGCAGTGTCTACTCAGGTCCTTTGCCAAGTTTTTTTTTTATTGGATTGTTTATCTCCCTTTTGTTGAGTTCTCTATATATTTTGGAAATTAAACCTTTATTAGATGTATCATTGGCAAATACGTTCTCCCATACAGTGGGCTCCCTTTTCATTTTGATGATGGTTTCTTTTGCTGTGCAAAAGCTTTTTAGTTTGATGTAGTCCCATTTGTTTATTTTTTTCTTTCTTTCTCCTGCCCTAGGAGACGGGTGAAAATTCTGCTACGTGAGATGTCAGATTTTACTGCCTGTGTTTTCTTCTAGGATTCTTCCGACTTCGTGACTTACATTTAAGTCTCTTATCCATTTTGAGTTTATTCTTGTGTATGCGTAACTCGGTGGTCTAGTTTCTTTCTTTTAGCCTGTGCTTGTCCAGTTTTCCCAACACCACTTATTGAAGAGACTGTCTGTACTCCATTGTATGCTCTTGCCTCCATTGTCAAATATTAGTTGACCGTAATGGCTCTGGTTGATTTCTGTGCTCTTTGTTCTGTTCCATGGATCTATTCTTGCCAGACTGTTTCGATTACAATAGGGATTGTGTTGAATCTATAGATTGCTTTGGGTAGTGTGGAATTATGTCTAATACGTGAACTCAGTATATGCTTCCACTTGTTTGTATCTTTCTTTAGTTCTTTGTTCAGTGTCCTATATTTTTCTGAATACAGGTCTTTTACCTCCTTGGTGAGGTTTATTCCTAGACATCTTACTTTTTTTTGTTGCAATGGTAAATGGGATTTTTTTTAGTGTCTCTTTCTGAGGGTTCATTATTGGTGCATAAAAATGCCACCAAGCGCTAGCCGGTTGGACTCAGTGGATAGGGCGTTTGCCTACGGACTGAAGGGTCCGTAGGTCAATTCCGGTCAAGGGCATGTACTTGCAGGCTGGATCCCTGGCCCTAGTCAGGGTGCGTGTGGGAGGCAGCAGTCGATGTGTCTCTCTCACACTGATGTATGAGGAGGCCTTGAGCAACATTGTAGAAAATGAGAATGGCACGTTGGATTAATTCATGTTTTAAATCATGCCTTACCTCCCCACATGGTCCCACTGGACTTTGGAGGAAACTGTTGGAAAGATCTGTATTCCTGGAGCTTGCACTCTGGTCACATGGACCCTGACAGCTTCCTGTCTGATTAGAGGAAGGGATGGATATTGGTTACTGGATCTAGACTGGACTTAGATCTGACCTTGGGCATTCACAGCCTCCTCCTTCCTCTCGAGCTTGTACCATCAGGAGTGTCCCCTGGAAGCTCTCCAAGCCGTTTGCCCTGCTGCAGAGCCACCTCACTGCATCTCAGCTGCTGCCTCCTCCCACGTTCCTGACACCCTTTTTCTTTTTTCTTTTTCTTTTTTTTCCTGGTTAACTCCATCTCATCCTTTAGGAGCGATTGCTTCCTGGAGGAAATGGCTTTCCCTGATCTGCTCATCTCTCCCCCCACACCATATATGCACTTCAGGCTTCCTGCCTCAGTGCCCCCAGAACACAGTGCCTCTTATCACCCAGCTGCCATATTGTGTGCAAATGCTCTGTCCCTCTCTTCTTGTAAAATATGCTTTCTCTCATCCTTCTAGGAGTTCCTTGAGGTCAGGACTTGTGTTTTATCCATCTTTGTAGTTTTGGGAACTTGCACAGCAGATAAGCTCAGGGAAAAGGTGTTGAGTGAATGGTTCTCCAGCAGAGAGGGCATAGCTCACTCTGGTGCTGGGTGGGGCTCTCCCTGGGAGTCTCCAAAATCGTCAGGGGGAAGTAGGAACTTCTCCCAGAGTCAGCGGTTCCTGTGGAACAAAGCAGGAAGACACCTGGCACATCTGACAGAGAGGAGGGGCCTGCCGAAGAGCTGTTTCAGGAGTCGCACTTCATGGTGATAGGCTGAACGCTCTGAAGGGAGAGAGATGTCTGAGAGACCGAGTACTCACGTTTCTGAGCCTTCCGCACGATGTTTTCTAAAACAGTTGAAGTGTAAGTCACATAACATAAAAGTAACTATTTTAAAGTATGTAATTTAGTGACTTTTCTAGTATATTCACAGTGTTGTGCTATCTCTATCTAGTTTAAAGCATTTCATCACTCCAAAAGGAAACTCCTCATTCTATTCTCATTCCTCATTGTCCCTCCTCACATACCCTGACAAACACTGATTTCCTTCCTGCCTCCGTGGATAATTCATGTAAATGGAATCGTAGGATATGAACCCTTCGTGTTTGGCTTCTTTCAAACATTAGGGAATGTTTTTAAGGTTCATCCATGGTGTAGCATATATCCGTGCTTCCTTTTTATGGCTGAATACTATTCCATTGCATAGATGTATTACATTTGTCTATCCATTCATCCGTCAATGGACATTTGGGTTGTTGCCACCTTTCGCTATTGTGAAAAGTGCTGCTATGAACATTGAAGTACAAGTTTCTGTTTGCATACCTGTTTTTAGTTCCTTTTGTTGTATTCCTAAGAGTCAAATTGCTGGGTGATGTGGTAATTCTGTTGAATTTTTTGAGGATTGCATTACACTTTTTATATGTGTGCAAAAAGGTTCTTTTATACAAACTAACTTTTAAGACTCATTTTTTTTTAATTGAGTGGTTCTTGCTGGTATATTTATATATAAAATGAGGAGGCTTTGTCTGGTATTGCCATATATGCTTTTCTGTAGAATAGCCAGTTTAAAATTTTCACTATTCTTTTTCATGAACCTCATATTGAAGCTTGCGTTTCCATCTAAGCAACAGCAGTTTTTTATTTACTGAAACATTTATGCGTGTTTTGTTTCTGTTTCCCATTAATCACACTCCTCTCTTCCTCTCCAGGAATCTTATATGTAAAATTCCCTGCATATACTTATTTACTCACTGGCAACACATCATCTCTTTTCCGCTGCTTCTTCCTTCCTCCCTGCGGGTAATACAAGTTTTGCTTGAAAATTCTTATTTTCTAAAGCTTCTTTTTCTTTTGCCATTGTGGGTGGTTACCGTTATACGTTATTTTTCAAATTTGTTTTTTACACCAAAATATATGATATTTGGTTATCATAACCAAAGAGCAAATATTGAAGTTTCAGTTTAAAAAAACTGGGAAATTATGTGTATGCTATTTGTCTCTATAAATATAAAAATTTTTCACACAAAAAGTACTACCGAGTTAACTAACTTGAATGCATTCTACTAATTACCAGCCAACCTTCAGTCTTGAGGAGCACCCTTTTAAAACCAGATTCATTCCAAAGACACAATTCTGTTTTAACCTGGGGCGGGGAGTGAACCCACAGCAGAGGTATGTGCTCTTGACCGGGAATCGAACCCATGACTCTTTGGTGCATGGGCCGATCCTCCAACCATTGAGCAACACTGGCCAGGGTGTAAATCTTAACTCTTGATAAGACCTTTGGTAATATAAAAAAGCAAATTGCATGATCAATAGCGAAAACTCATGTTCTTTTTAGAATAACGAGAATTTTAATGGATCTGGATGGACCACGCTGGCGGGAGAAGCTGTCACCCATACCTTCTGTGCCCACTTCTGCGCAGTTGCGAGTGTGGCAGCCTACAGCAGAGACGCCCCCAGACCAAGTGGGAGATTCCTGCAGCCATCACCAACCGGGCAGCACAGGTAGGGGAAGTCTGTACTCATTTCTTTCAAGGGTTGAGCCTTGTACATTTCATAGTAGAGCAGTAGAATAAGAGCATAAATGTAGGCGTCAGACCTGGGATTAAGGCCCTGTTTACCCTCTAACTACAGAGTCTTAAGAACTTGCTTCACACCTCCAGTGTCCTAATGTATGTGGATAGGGATTAACATGAGCAACTACCTCATGGAGTTGCTCCTAGGAATAAACGGAGAGATGCATGTAAAATACTTAGCACCTGCAGACTGTACGATTACAGTAGCCCCAATAAAGATAGCATTGTATTAACAGTAAGAAGGAAGAGAGTTAAGTAGCATGTAGTTCTCTGTGACACCGTTAAGACTGATGCGTTTGAAAGAAAAAGCACCTTACTACGTAAGTAGCAGCAGATACTTCTGCCTTGTGTCATAGTTGTGAACGTGGCTGCTTTGCCGTAGGACCTACCTCATTGCTTTGTGCCGTGGTTAATAAATGGGACTGCCCTCTTGCTTTCTGCATTAAAGCTAGTTGAGGCCTCATTTCTCCTGCCTGCTGAGAGCTCCTGTGTGTTCCCTGGATGAGCTTCATCTCGCAGAAACCCCGAAGCGCCAGAGCCGTGGTGTCCCAGGGGCTCGTGTTAGACCGTCATCTCTCATTGCCTTGAAAGAAGATGCAGGGACCGTCTGCCAAGGATTTTAGATGACTTAGCAGTCCCCGGGAAATCACAGCGATCTCTGCGTTTCTAGAGTCCGTTATTCATGGGACCTGGCTCAAAGCATTTGCTCAATGAAGGGTGGCTATAATTTACAAAGTACATATGCTAACCATACTGTAGATATGTCATAGCAAATCATAAGGACACCGTCAGCTCTTTTTGTCCCTGGTGTACTGATTGCTAGTGAGAACGGATACCAGGGGCTTCAAACCTTGTTGGAAGAAAAGCTGAAGGAAAGGTTTTTAATTTTTAGCAAATTGAGGGGCGGAAATACTGCGTTATTTTGTTTGACAGCTTATAGATACCAGCATTCATGGGGAGTGTCATTTGACCCCTTTGAAACTTGAAACATTAGAAATATTCTGTTATTTGAAATAAGAAAATGAAAAATTAAGATTTTATGCCATTTGTACAGAGGGACAAATAAGATTGTCATTTACATTCAAGTTAATGCTGTAAATTCAATACATCTATCTAGATTTTTAGATCACAGAATTTAAAGGTATATTTTAGATTTTAGGTGAAGGATTTTTTATTTATATGAAGTTATTCATAGGGTAAAGTTACTACATAGATTTAAAACTTAAAATTTTAACAGTTTATGTGTGTTAGAAAACTTTGGGTGTAAGTAACAGAAAATCATAAGGAATGGTTTTGGCTCAAGTAACTACAAGGGCCCAGATAGGCTCTGAAATCATGCACAGTTCATCAGGGTTCAGGCTCTGGCCGGAAACAATGGAACTGCAGAAGCTTTAAGCTTCATGTCTGTACATATCAATGTCCAAAGGGAGAGAAACACCATTGCTTTTGGTGGCATTAATTTAAGAATGAGGAGATATGTTGCCCCAAAGTCATAGCTTTTTTATCCTGTTGTTCTGTTGGCTCGAATTTTGTTGTTACTTTTTTTTTTTAATGTTTTTATTGATCTTTAGAGAGAGGGGAAGTGAGAGGCATAGAGAGATAGAAACAGCTATGGGATAGAAACATCATCAATAGGCTGCCTCCTGCGCGCCCCCTACTGGGGATAGACCCCACAACCTGGGCATGTACCCTGACCAGGAATTGAACCAGCAACCTCTTGGTTCAACCACTGAGCCACACCAGCCAGGCACTGTTGCTACTTATTCTAATGGGTCATGTGCTCGTTCCCGAGCTGGTCTCTATGATGAAGAAATGCTATGCGCTGGTTGGCTTAGGCCTAAATTCCTGATCACTAGGGTCAGCTTCTCCTGAACACATGGGCTGAACAGAAGGTGGCAGCTGCGAGGGACCCTCAGGAGGACGGGAGTGGGGCGGGGGGGAGAGGGGGGAATGGACCCTGCGCAGGCAGTCCACCGTGATCACTACGAGACAGTAGCTAATGATAATAGTTGGGACACTGATCGCAGATAACAAAACCCAACTCTTAATAGCATGAAGCAAAAAAAGACAAACCCCACAAAACAGGTTGTTTTGGGCTCTTACAGTGGAGAAGTCCACAGGTGGGTAGCTGCGGGAAGGCTGGATTTAGGCCTCATTCTCCTTCAGCTCTCTGGCTTGGCCTTTCTCTTGCTCTGTTGGCCCCATTCTCAGATAGACTCTTCCTTTGTCTCATGGGATGGCAACATCGCTCCTCCTTTCACCCTCATTCCCCGGGAAAGAGCAAGAATTACCTTATCAGATGCTGCCACAAAATTCATAGTGCAGCTCGTTGGCTCTCAATAGGCCCAGCCCTGACCAGTTAGATTGTTTTGGCCAAGGGAATATAATGTGTTGATCAAAAAAACCCCAAAGTTTACCCCAAAAGGTAGGGCTAGGGTAGGGGTTGCTTTAAGCCACAGGGTGAAGACTGGAGGAGGTGTGACTTTCCCAAGAACGTTAGGGTACTGGACAGATGTCTGCTTCATGCTTCCGTGGGTTGGTTGGTTTGTCCATTTTTCACGAAATAGTGATTTAATGGAACACTAGATTTTTATTTTTATTTTGGAAAGCACATTGGTTAAAGCTGGGCTCAGTGAAAGAAGAAAGGGCTGAGGATAGTGGAAGCCACAGGAGAGCCTAGGCGGGGCTGCCTTAGCTCACAGGGAAGTCAGAGAAATGGGCAAGACTAGGTATTCCTGCCTCTCGCAGGGAAAGGGGTGCCAGTGTGGATGAAGATGATTGAAGTCCTTGAATTTTACTTGTATGTTTTCTAATTTGAAGAAAGTGTCATAATTGTATAATCACCTCCACTTATAGCCAATTTATCTTTCTAATTTGTATACAGTTTTGTTCCATTTAGACTCTAGCTCCGCACGGTATGGGGCAAGTTGATTTGCAATAGATTTCCTTACAGCAGCACTTGCTATTTTGTAGAGGTGCTTTCTATAAACATTTCCTCCGTTTTTATCTTTTGGGTTCCATAGATGAAAAAACGTTTAAAACCCTTAAAGAAGAAGGAAACCAATACGTAAAGGACAGAAACTATAAAGACGCACTTAGTAAATACAGTGAATGCTTACAGATTAACAATAAGGAATGTGCCATTTATACAAACAGGCAAGTTCTTTGTAACTTTATATATTTCTTATGTTAATATTTTCATTGTGAAAGTTTTTCCCATGGTTCTGATAATTTATGTAGCAAATTGTCTAAGAGGTGTGGGTAGGGGAGCGGGGGGCATAGGAGTTCTGGAGAGATTGCAGACATGCGGTGTGGTGGGCTGGGAGGTCGGGTGTGGCCTGTGTTACGCACAGGCTGGTGTGCCGGCCTGGATGGGTGCTCTGACCCTTCCTGGAGGTGGTCTTGCTGCAGCTACAGGCCTGAGTGTTGTCCTCCTTGGTGGGAGTAGGACAACACGAGAATTAGTGTCTTAAGTCCCTTCTTCTCTTGAAGTGCTAAGGGAAGGGGTCAGCCTCTTTAGTGTGCGATAGGAATGGGCAGATTGTTCTAGAATGCTGCTCAGGTGCCATCTTCACCACATTGTGGTATAAGATAGTTACCTAGTCCTAGACTATGGTGATCTGGGGAATGTTAGAGAGTAGGTGGACTCTGGGGTGACAAGGAAAAATAAGGTATAGTTCCTAAAGAACGGGGACTCTTAGCATGAGCTTTCTAGCTATTTCAGATTAATTCTTTTAACTGAACTTCTCACTGCTTTGTTTTTCTATCTTTTCCTCTATTGGTAACCTTTTTGCCAAAAATTTGTCACTGACTGCACCAGGTGTTTTTCTACCCTCTGCTCAGCCTCAGTGTTAGGGCTGCTCAGTGTCCCGGGACAGCCCTCTCTCCCTTTGGCGGCAGTGCCCACGACCGACGGCTCAATTGCCTGCCTCTCCTCTTCTCCCTCGGGCATTCTTGGGGTTCTAAAGGCGTAGACCCCTTTTTCATCCTCTGTGCTCTCTGGCCATTTCATTTTCTCTGCAGTCCATTTAACCACCTTCCAGTTATGGCCTCTAACTCTGTCCCTGAGCTTCGGACCTGAGCTCTCCCTCCCCTCTGCACTCCCTCCCCTTCTGCGCTCCTGATGGGTTATCCCCCCTGACTAATGCCTCCCTTTTTGACCCACCATTTCTGCCTTTTGTCTGCAACACCCTTCACGTGTGCCTGCAGTCTTGTTCCCTCCTTTCTCGTCCTCCAAGTGGCAGCCAGAGGGATCTTTCTAAACATGGCAAACACGTCAGCCCCTATTTAAAAACACATTAAGTTCTGGATAAAGCTCTGCTTCCCTGGCACAATTTACAGCTTCCCTGGCCCCTTGTGATCTGGCCTGCCCGCCCTCCCAGCCTCATCCCTACGCTACGGCCATCGGGCACTTTTCTTACCCCGTTAGGAACATGGGATATGATCCAGATACTGCCCTGTGCGGAGTGGCTCAGTTAGTTGAGTATCATCTCATGCACCAAAGGGCCACCGGTTCAAATCCTGGTCAGGGCACATATCCAGATGTCGGGTTTGATCCCTGGTCTGTTGCATATGGGAGGCAATCAATCGATGTTTCTCTTTCACCTCAATGTTTCTCTCTCTCCCTCTCCCTCTACTCTCTAAAAAAACACAAAAAATAAATAAAAATGCCCATGCTAGCCCTTGACCTCCACTCTCCTCTCCCTACATCTTAACTCTCACTCCAGTGCCTTTGCTTTGATAATTGTCACTTCAGACTCCGGGCTTCAGTTTAAATGTCTCTTCTCCTGGGAAGTCTTTTCTGGCTGCTCTTGCCCTCTCTTGTCCCCCTTAAAAGTTCAGTATATATTTCAGAGAGGAAAGGGAAAAGAGAGAGATAGAAACATCAATGATGATAGAGAATCATTGATGGGCTGCCTCCTGCACACCCCCTACCAGGGTTGGAGCCTGCAACCAAAGCATGTGCCCTGGCCAGGAATCAAACCGGCAGCCTCCTAGTGCATGGGATGCTCAACCAATGGAGCCACACCGGCCGGGCATGTTTGCTTGTTTTATTTATTTATTTATTTAAAAATATATTTTATTGATTTTTTACAGAGAGGAAGGGAGAGAGAGATAGAGAGTTAGAAACATCGATGAGAGAGAAACATCGATCACCTGCCTCCTGCACACTCCCTACTAGGGATGTGCCCGCAATCACAGTACATGCCCTTGACCAGAATTGAACCTGGGACCCTTCAGTCTGCAGGCTGACGCTCTATCCACTCAGCTAAACCAGTTAGGGCTGTTTGCTTGTTTCAGTTGTCTCTTCCTTGAGGGCCGGGGCTGTATTTTGTTTGCAGTTATATTCACAGTGTCATAATTAACATGTGTTGCGAGAAAATGCCATGATTGTACTTCAGTGTTAGGTGTGAATTGAGAAACAGCTGTGGTCTGTAGATACACACTTCATGAGCTATTTTCTGATTTTCCTTAGCAGTCACATTTATAGGTATAGTGTCTTTCCCTTTCATCATACCGAGTTCCCTTGTTACACCAGAGCTCTCTGTTACTTGAAGCTGTGCCAGTTTGAAGAGGCGAAGCAGGACTGTGATCAGGCGCTTCGGATAGACGACGGGAACGTGAAAGCGTGCTACAGGCGAGCTCTTGCCCATAAAGGACTCAAGGTGAGGACCTCTTCATTTCAACACATACAATACCGTTCAGCTCTGCACAAATCAGGTGGTTTTCATGAACGTCAGTCTCGGGACCTGGGAACGGGAGTGAGATTATCCTGGGATTTAATCCTAGTTCTGTACCAACCAGCCTGAAACCTTGGACTAGGCCTCAGCTTTCTCCTGATTATAATGTGGAGCTAGATAATTCCTAAGGCTCCTTCCAGCTCAAAAATGATTTATTTCCTGATTTTCTAAGGAGTGTTGTTAGTTATGAAAAGTCTACTTAAAGGACAGGAATTTTTTTTTTTTTACTGACTGACTCCAGGCCACCAGCAATGCCATTGGGTTTCTCCAGCGAAGGACTGGGGCTGTCTGGGGCGGGAGGAAGGCGTCAGAAGGGAAGATGGCAGAGATATATCAGAAATCGGGAAGCTCATGTTGATTTGGGTCTTAACTGACTGGTGATCAGTATGGGACTATCGAGTGGCATTCTTTAAGAGAATCACACTTTAAGAAAAAGTATTGTATAATTATGCTTTGGGTTTATTTTTGTTTCGGTCTTTAAATATTTTTGTTGTTGTTGATTTGAGAAAGAGAGAGAAACACTGACTGTGCTTTTCCACTCATTTATGCTTTCATGGGTTGCTTCCTGCATGTGTCCCAGTGCGGGATTGAACCTGCAACCTTGGTGTACTGGGATGATGCTCTAACCAGCTGAGTTACCGGCCAGGGCTGCTTTTGTTTATAAGCTGGTTCTTCTGCATGGAAAACGTGAATGAATGTTCATGCATCACAAGGGAAAATCAGGCCATACAGAACAAAATGACATTTTCTGAAATGGCATTTTTTTTTTTAATACTAACCCTGACCTATTATGCTTTCTGCTGGTCATCTTTTTATTTATTTTATTTATTATTATTATTATTTTTAATCCTCACCTGAGGTTATTTTTCCATTGATTTTTAGAGAGAGTGGAAGAGAGAGGGAAAGACGGAGAGAAATATCGATGTGAGAGAAACACATCGATTAGTTACCTCCTGCACAAGCCTTGACCAGGGCCCGAGCTGGAGAGGAGCCTGCAACTGAGATATGTGCCCCTGACCGAATTGAACCCAGGACCTTTCATTCTGCAGGCTGACACTCTATATCCACTGGGCTAAACCAGCTAGGGCCGAAATGGCATTTTTAATAGCCATTTTGATTAAGGTCTAATCCAGTGAAATTCACACATTGTAAATGTGCAGATCTTGGATTTCTTTCTCAGCATTTTTTTTTTAAATTGACATAGTTTCATGTGCACAACATAATGGTATGTATATATAGCAAAATGATCACCATACTGTCCATCACCACACAGTTATAAATTTTTTTCTTGTGATAAGAACTTTTAAGATCTATTCTCTTAGCACTGTCAGATGTATACGACAGTGTTATTAACTACAGTCACCATACTGTCCATTACACCCTCATGAATTATTTATTTATAATTCGAAGTTTGTACCTTTTGACCACCTTCACCCATTGTGCTTATGCTCCACCCCTCACCTCACCTCTGGCAGCCACTGATCTGCTCTGTGTATGAGTTCGGGTTTTTTTTTTGGTTTGTTTGTTTATTTAGATTCCACATAGTAGTGAGGTCATATGTTAATTGTCTTTCTCTGTATGACTTATTTCACTTGGCGTAATGCCCTCAAGGTCCATGTTGTTGCAAGTGTCAGGATTGCCTTCTTTTTTTATGGCTGAATAATATTCCAGTGTGCATATATACACCACATTTTCTTCATCCATTCTTCCATCGATGGGCACTTAGGTTGTTTCCAGTTGTTGGCTATTGTAAATAACGCTGCCGTGAACTTGGCGGTGGGATATCTTTTTGAATTAGTGATTTTGTTTCCTTTGGATATATACCCACAAGTAATATTTTTAATTTTCAAGGAAACTTCGTACTGCACCAGTTCACTTTCCATCAACAGTGCCCAAGGGCTCCGTTTTCTCCACATCCTTGTCAACACTTGTTATTTTTGTCTTTTTTATAATGGCCATTCTAACACGCATGAGATGGTATCGTTGTGGTTTTGGTTTGCATTTCCCTGATGATTAGTGATTGAGCATCTTTTTTCTTTTCTTTTTTTTTTTTTTGTTAATCCTCACTTGATATTTTTCCATTGATTTTTAGAGAAAGTGGAAAGGAAGGGGAGAGACAGAGAGAGAAACATTGATGTGAGAGAGAGAGAGAGAGAGAGAGACATTGATTGCTTGCCACCAGCAAATGCCCCCGACCGGGACTGGGGATCGAGGTCCATGCCCTTGACCAGAATTGAACCCAGGACCCTTCATTCTGAGGGTTGATGCTCTACCCACTGAGCCCAAAGGGCTGGAGTGAGCATCTTTTCATGTGCCTCTTGACCATCTGTATGTCTTTGGGAGAGTTGTCTATGCAAGTTCCTCTGCCCATTTTTTTAATCGGATTGTTTGTTATTTTGCTATTGAGTTGTGTGAGTTTTTTATACTAGTACATTTTGGATATTAATCCCTTATCAGATAGATGTTTTGCAAATATTTTCTCCCACTCAGTAGGTTGTCTTTTTTATTAATGGTTTTCTTTGCTGTGCAGAAGCTTTTGAGTTTAATGTGGTTCCACTTGTTTATTTTTGCTTTTCTTGCCTTTGGTTCTAGTGTCAGATCCAAAAAATCATCACCAGGACCAAAGTCAAGAAGTTTACTGCCTATGTTTTATTCTGGTGCTATGGTCCCAAGTCTTACATCCAAGTCTTTAATCCATTTTGAATTGACTTTCAGGTATGGTGTAAGAAAGTGGTCCCGTTTCATTTTTTTGTATGTGGTGTCTAGCTTTCCCAGCACCATTTATTGAAGAGACTTTCCTTTCACCAGAGATAATGCTTGGCTTCTTTGTTATAAGTTAATTGGCCATAAATGTAATAGGTTTATTTCTATTTCTAGGCTCTGTTCTTTTTCATTAATCTATATCTGTGTATTTATGCTAGTACTGTACTGGCTTGATTGCTGTAGCTCTGTAATATAGTGTGAAATCAGGAAGTGTGATGCCTCCAGCTTTGTTCTGCTTTTTCAAGATTGCTTTGGCTATTTGAGATGTTCTGTGGGTCCATACAAATTTTAGAATATCTTTCTATCAGTATCTTAGAGTTTTCGGAATACAGGGCTTTCATCTCCTTCATTCAATTCATTCCTAGGTATTTTATTCTTTTTAATGCAATTGTAAATGGGACTGTTTTCTTAATTTGGCTATTGACCTGAATAATACATGTTCCCATATAGCCACGGCCTCAGTTAAGGTAGAGAACATTTTCATCTCTCCAGAAAGTTCCTTTTGCCCATTGTCTTTAATCTACCCCCTCTCATCCCACCCCATTTATCTAATTGCTGCCGCTATAGATTAGTTGGGCCCAGGCCCAGGTTGTGAGCTCGATCCCCAGTGGGGTGTGTGCAGGAGGCAGCCGATCAATGATTCTCTCTCATCATTGATATTTTTCTTTCTCTCTCTCCTCTCCCTTCCTCTCTGAAATCAATCACTCAGTATGTATATATGTTTTAAAGAATACAGTTGTAGCCACATAAAGAGGTGGTGCAGAGGGTGGTATCTAGGAGGGTCCTGAGCGCAGGGGCCTCTGTCTGAATGGAACTGGATGTGCCACCCTCCCAGCACGTGTTGCAGTCACCAGCCCGGAGCCCACACTTGCCTGCATGACCCAGACACCCTACTCCCTTTTATTTTGTTAGTAGCACTCATTTGTAAACCTCACCAAAGATTTCCTAAGCGGTGTGTGGCACCATAAATTAAAGCGGCCTCTTCAAAGTTAACTTTTACTGAGCTCAGTGGCTTTGGGTGCATGAGGGTAGATCCACGTGACGCACAAGTTTCCATATGTCCAAACACTTCAGCAGCTTGACCTCGTTCTGGCTGCCTGACTCGGAACTTGTTTACCCGACTGGAAGTCAGAAGATGTACCGAACGAAAGACCAGAATTTCATACTTCCTGGAGCAAATTCCAGAAATTGTATTGTGGATGTAGAAAGACAGTCCCAGGTCTGAGGAATCCTGTTCCACTAAATGAGGAGCCCGGCAGCCTGTTTTTCTGGTTTGACTTCTTAGGGCTTGATTTGTCTGCCCCGTCACTAGAGCTCTGTGCCAAGGGAATTAATTGTTCCAGGATCTGCACGGGCTGCGGCAGTTTTTTAATGTGTCGCTCACCCCTGGGCCCGCTTCCTCCGGGGCCGGGGTGAGGAAGTGGCACCAGGGCCCACCGTGACAGGTGCCCCAGCTCTCGGGGGAACCCTGCTGCTTGGATCCCCTGTCTCTCTCCTCGCTGGCTTCCATTTCTCTGTGGGCCAGTTTGAGAAACAGAGCTTTCCTTAATGTACAGTTGTTCTTCACAAGAAAAGGTAACCGAACGTTTTGCTGTTGACTTTGTTTCTCTGATGGAGCGCCGTTTCTGTGCTAGGCTTGGGGACCGTCGAGGTGAGTGAGACCTGGTCCTGCCTAGTGGAATGTACAGCCAGTTGGCGAGGCTACGGTACCAAGACATCAACAAATTTCTATTGTTGGGATAATCTGCCTACATCATAATGCAATTTCTGGAGTAGCCAATTTTTATTGATATTAGTTGAAGCACATCTATTAATAGTAAATGTCATCATAAACCCATGTGATGGTACTTCATTTTTTTAAGGCCCAGTGAGATCAGCAGCAGCTTTTACTGCCCTCTTCCTGCCAGGGCCACACTCCCCTGTTTGTATAACCTTCTCCTTCCCTCCACCCTGCAGGCTGCTTTCCCTGCAGATCCCTCCCCCTCCTTAGTATCCATCTCAACCTTTGGTGTTCTTAATTGCATTAATGACATTTTAATTTTTTACTTGTTTTTTCAATATATATATATTTTAATTGATTTCAGAGAGAGGAAGGGAGAGGGAGAGAGAGAAATGTCAATGATGAGAGAATCATCGATTGGCTGCCTCCTGCACGCCCCCTACTGGGGATTGAGTCCACAACCTGGGCATGTGCCCCGCCCGGGAATCACACTGTGACCTCCTGGTTCATAGGTTGACGCTCAACCACTGAGCCACATGGGCTGGGCTTACTTGTTTGTTTTTTGTTTCCCTTCTTAAGATGTACGTTTCCACAAGGGCCAGACCACAGCTGCTCTTGTTCCCAGTTCCTGGCACACGGATGTGGCCATGGCCATCTCTCAGATGAATAAACCTTGCCTGACCACTCAGTGGAGCTGGCAGACTGGCCCCCTCGTCTTCCACCGCCTCCCTGCTTGATGCTGCTGCCCTGCTGTCCTGCCCTTTTGCCACACTTGCCTGCCTCTGTTGTGGCATTATCAGGCGTATTTACCGTCTTCTTAGGTCCCCTCCAACCAGACAGGTTGCTCTTTAGGCAGCGACTTTTCTGGAATAGATGGGAAAACTCGTATTGACGCTTGTGGCGGCGGACTTTCATTTTGTAGCTCACAAATCTCTGTTTTCAGGCCTCTCTTCCTTGAGCCCCACAGCTGTATTACCATTCACCTCGGGCCCTTGCCTTGATCATCCCAAGATGATCTTACTGTGCCTCAGTTTCCTTATCTGTAAAATGGGGACAATAAAAGGTAGTACTCATAGGGCTATTGTGAGAGTAATGATACTTGCAAAAAGCTGAGAATGGTCAGAGTTGGCTCTATTACTTCCTCGGCTTGTCCAGCTGCCCCAATTCCCTGCCTTCCAGGATGGCCCCTGACTGGACACTTAGGATGGAACACAGTGGTATTGGGTGTTTTGGTAGCATGTTCCAGCTGTGTTGTTGTGACACAGTGGTGCCTAGATTTGTTACTAATAGTACATGATGTGCTACAGTTTGTAAATAATCTACTTTATCTTTTTGATAAATTAGAGATTTAAGGTTATGCCTTTGAACTCATCCCTCCATTGCTCTTGCTCTCGTGTGTTGCCGGGCTAGTGGGGAGGGGATGTGGCATTACTGCTAGTCTCTCAGGATGGTCACACGACACTGCTTATCTGTCCTGGGCCTGAGCCTGGGGTGTGTGCTGTGATGGATATGTCATAAATACTCAGGTTGCACATCACTGGGATTCTTCACCTCCTCCCAGAATTAATTTTGGTTTAATCAAAACATGGGTTTCCCTGGCCAGCGTGGCTCAGTTGGTTGGAGCTTCGTTCTGTACACCGAAAGGTCGCAGGTTTGATTCCTGGTTAGGGCACATACCCAGGTTGTGAATTGGATCCCCGGTCAGCGTGCAGTCAGGGAGCATATGTGGTGCAACCAGTCAATGTTTCTCTCTCATAGTGATGCTTCTCTCTCTCCCTCTCTCCATTCCTCTCTTCCTAAAATCAATACACTTATCTCAGCTGAGGATTAAAAAACACACACACAAATTTAAATGCAGGAGGCAGCCAGTCAGTGATTCTGTCGTGATTGATGTTTCTCTCTCCCTCTCCCTTCCTCTCTGAAATCAATAAAAATATATTGAAAAAATTTAAAAAGCATCAACCAATAAAAAACTATGGGTCTAGTCCAGGGGTGGGCAAACTTTTTGACTCGAGGGCCACAGTGGGTTCTTAAACTGGACCGGAGGGCCGGAACAAAAGCATGGATGGAGTGTTTGTGTGAACTAATATAAATTCAAAGTAAACACCATTACATAAAAGGGTACAGTCTTTTTTTTCAATAGTTTTATTCATTTCAAACGGGCCGGATCCAGCCCGTGGGCCATAGTTTGCCCACGGCTGGCCTAGTCTGTAGTTCTGGAATGTGGCCTGTCACAGTGGCTGATTTTGTGGTATATGTCTCTACTACCGGATTCCATGCTGTGTTTGGTAAGCTTAGATTTCTTTTCTTTCCCCTTAACCTCTCCAATGTATTGTCTGACTCTTTATGGGAGAATAAATGTCAACTCTAGCCTATATGAACAGTATAAAACTTTGATGGGTTTTATGGAATAGATAATCTGGTAGCAGCTAACGTTTGTTTAGCCCTTTATAGTTTTAAACCACTCATATATTATTTTAACTCATTTATTACGTGGTAGAGCCTTGTGGAAACTAGAATAGAAAAGCCCCTGTTATTCACACTTTAACGGTAAGAAAAACTGAAGCTCGGGAAGGTTAAGTAGGATCTTGTTCAGGTTTCACTGCCGGTAGGTGCTAATATGAGGATGTTCATTATTTCACTTATTTAGCCGACAACATGTGCCCACCGTGTGTTAGGGACTGTGAAGGTCATGGTGACAGAGAGTTTAACCTGAGTCTTCTAACTCCGGATTCTGTGTGCTGTCTCTTATGGAGGACTAGAGGCCCAGTGCATGAATTCGTACACGGGTGGGGTCCAGCCAGCCTGGACCAATTGGGGCTGGGCCAGCTGGAGAGAGGGGCCGCAGGAGGTTGGCCACCCACAAAAATTTGTGCACTCAGGAGGGTCCCTCAGCCCGGCCTGTGCCCTCTCGCAGTCTGGGATCCATCCGGGGATGACCACCTGCTGGATTAGGCCCGCTCCCCAGGGAATGGGCCTAAGCCTGGCAGTCAGACATCCCTCTGGCAGCCAAGGGGCTTGGCCCTCGCAGCAGCGGCTTCGTCCAGAAGGATGTCCGGAAGGTTGTTTGGCTGGCCAGTCTAATTAGCATATTATGCTTTTATTATTGTAGATGCTCTCTGTGTTATGGGTTATAATAATTTAGCCTAAGTGTTACCCTGAAGACCCATCTGTCTAACCGTGGTGCTGACAGGAGCCCACTGTGCCACTGTGCACTCCCGAGCGTCCTTCTCCCTGCCCCGGACGGATCTGTGCCCTTCTCCTGTTACCTGTGAAAATGACTGCCTCCGCCCTTCTCCTTGCAGGATTATCAGAATAGTTTAAATGATCTCAATACAGTTCTCCGGCTGGACTCAAGTATTGTGGAGGCCAAGATGGAACTGGAAGAGGTGACCAGATTCCTTAATGTGAAGGATCAGGCAGCATCACTCAACAAAGAAAAGGAGAGAAGGAAAATTGAGATTCAAGAGGTATTTGTGTTTGATTATTTTTGAAAGTACTTTTTGGGGGATGTTATATTGGATTCCAAGGTCATGTTCCTATAAGTTCTACCAATTTCTTTTAAATTTTGTGTTTTTTTATTCTGATGCCCAATGAAGAAAGTTAAACCGATGGTAAAGACAGACTTTTCCTGTGCCGTGGTTTAGCCTGTCTTTTCCTGGTTTGGTCATGGATGGTACTGGGAGTCCACATTAGGTTCTTCTGTTCTTTGCCCCTGTCCCGCACTCCCTCCCTATCTGGCCTGTGTTTTGTATTGCTTCCACGCCAGACTGTGCTGGGAGCCTATGGCCACTGAGCTCTGCTTCAGGGTAGACCCAGAAAATGCTGACAGGACTGATTTTGTTTCAATGGTCCTGGCAAGCCACATGCCATAGAGATTTTCCAGTTTGATTCAGACCTTTCAGCACTCTAAGACTGGTCTCCTCAGAGATTTTTGGACTGCCTTTGATTTCAGATAAAATTGGTGTCTTGTGCGATATAGCTTTCTGCTTTGCCTTCAGTGAAGAATATCAATCATGAATTCCTGTGTATTCATGAATACTAATATATATTACATTTCCACTAAGAGGACCTAAAATTTAAGAGGCCAGGAAGTGTTTTTCCTTTAAGGATGGAAGAAAACTCTTTTAAGAGAATTGAAAAATAAGTTTACTTCTCTATTAAATGTAAAGAAAGAACTAAAAGTTATGAAAGAGATAAAGTTGTTATAGGTCTTCTTTTATATAGCAGCTTTATTCATGGAAAATTATAAAAAGAGCCCTGGCTGGTGTGGCTCAGTTGGTTGGGCGTCATCCCACGCACCAGAAGGTTACTGGTTTGATTCCAGCACATGCCTGGGTTGCAGGCTCGATCCCCAGTAGGGGGTGTACAAGAGGCAACCGATTGATGTTTTACGCTCTCTCACATTGATGTTTCTCTCTCTCTCTCCTTCTCCCTTTCTTTCTATTAGAAATCAACAAACTATTCTTAAAAATGTTTTTTCAACATTAAAAATATTTTAAATTCAAAAAATGCTTTTATGAATGAATACGAATACCTTAAAACTTCTCTTCCTCAAAAAGTAGATTTTACGATTACAGACTGCACATTTTCACTTACGAACTTGACTAAATACAGTGTTCTTGTGCTTTTCAGTTCCTTCCCATTGTAATAAATGTAACGTGGGATGTGTGCAGTGGCTGTTTGTGTCAGGGTGTAATTTTTTTACCTTGTGAAGGTGAATGAAGGCCACGAAGAGCTTGGAAGGACCCCGGAGGAGGTCTGCACGGGCTGTGGGCCACCGGAAAACTATGAGAAACTGCCCATCACCAAGCCCAACAACGCCTATGAGTTCGGGCAGGTGATGAACGCTGTCAGTGCTAGAAAAGACAAAGCAGCCTGTGCACATCTGTTAGCCATCACTGAGCCGAAGGACCTGCCAGCGTTGCTGAGTAACAAACTCGAAGGGGATCTATTCCTCCTCCTCATTCAGTCTCTGAAAAGTGAACTTATTGGTAAAGATCCCTCATTGGTATATCAGCATCTTCTATATCTGAGTAAAGCAGAAAGGTTTAAGGTAAGTGGCAGAGTATCTCATTGAAAGAGACTGATTTTTACAGGCTTTCTACACCTTTGACATGTTAATGTTTTATGCTAATGTAATTTTTCTCCTTCTTTCAGATGATGTTGACCCTAATTAGCAAGGGCCAAAAGGAGCAAATTGAACAGCTTTTTGATGACCTCTCTGACACACCAAACAAACATTTTACTTTAGAAGATGTACAGGCCCTAAAAAGGCAGTATGAGCTTTAAATCAGGTTATTGTTAGATCTCTTCCATGCATGCATGTGCTCCAGTAACACTAGTGAGACAGTATTGTCATACAGTTGCATGGATAAAACCTTGCTTAGAAAAGATCCCTGGGTCTGGACTATAAAATATTTTACTTATTTTTATACATAGAACATGTATATTCTACAATCTGCTTTTTATCAGTTGTAAATATTTTCTTATGTACCAGAGCTAACATCTTTATATTTAATAATAAGTATATTTGGAACTTATTCAGATGCATTTTAATTTATATCATACATTTCCTTTAATAACTTGTTAAAAATTTGAGTTAAATTGCATTTCTTTGGGCCTTGAAGGCATCCACTTAGGTTTGACAGAAATATATTTCTTTAAAATGCATTTTTAAAAGTGAAAATCATTAACAGTGATTATGTCACCTTTATTTCCTGCTAACACATACATATAAGTCCCATTTTATAAAACTTGTATATTACAGTCTGCTAAGATAAAATGCAATACTTAAATCCATAATATGAAATGATTATTAAATAAATTGTGATTACCAATTTAAAGCTATAAGAGGAACTTATTTTTTCTTATATGGAAGCATTGCCTAATAATTAAGAACAAAAATTGCCAAAAATTTCTACCACTTTTTACTAGACTTTAAAAAGCTCCTTTCCCTTATAAATTGCTTGTATAAGCAGTAACAAAACAACAAATACATGAGAGCAAACTAAGCCTTCATTTCTGTTTGCATTGTCAACCCCTATTTCCCCAAATATTTAAATGTCTTCTTGCCCTCTTTCATCCCTCTTTTAAGCAGGACCATGTTTATTCCCTTAATGTCAAAGGAAAAGTGAAGAACTCTTGAAGCTCTTTTGTTAACTGAGGGTAAAGGTATTTAAAATAAAACATTCGGTTTCTATCAGTATACCATCAAAAATATTCCTGTAGTCTGCAGTCAGTTCTCTTTTTATGGAGCATTTTTTTCTTTAGAAGTGAAGATAAAAGAAGAATATCACTAATTGTTTTATCTAATTTTTTTATAATTATAGAATATTTTTAATTTGTTTTATTGATTTCAGAGAGGAAGGGAGAGGGAGCGATAGAAACATCAACAATGAGAGAGAATCATTGATCGTCTGCCTCCTGCACACCCCCCAATGCAGATCCAGCCCACAACCCAACATGTGGCCTGACCAGGAATCGAACTGTGACCTCCTGGTTCATAGGCCTGTGTTCACCACTGAGCCATGCCAGCCGGGCTAATTACAGAATATTTTAAATATCATTGTGGGTAAATGGTGTCTTTCAAAACGTGCCATTTTTCTTTTAAACTTTTTTGTTCATAAATGAAAATCTGTAATAGTATTTAGTTCTAGTCTTCAAGCCAACAAACAAACCAGTTTTCTCCTTTGTAATACTATTAAATTTGTGTAAAAGTAAGTGATGGAGTGTGTTAGTTACTTTAGAACAGGGACATAACAAGGAAACACCGCCTCTTGTTGACAGTCACATACCCATTACCTAGCTGCATGGGACTGAGCTGCCTGCCTGCTGGTGGCAACCTGTCCCGCGAGGAGGTGGAGAGCAGTGAGTGGATGCCTGTCTGTCCCAGTGTGTGGGTCACAACTAGAGAAATCCACTTCTCTCCAGCAGCACCCAGAGCACTGGGGCTGCACTTCCGTTACTGAGGGGAGGAAAAGGAAAGGAAAGGAAGCAGGTAAGAATGTCAAAGCGCATTAAAGGAGCACGGGTCCTGCTGACCTCTCAGGACTTCATCAGGAAGTCCGTCCGCAAGCCCCTGGAATATCCCACTCGATCTCCCCACCAGGTGCATGGGCACCCCCAGCGCCCCAAGTGCTAACCCGCACCCGCTCCCACTCCGTGGCCGGAGCCTTGTACTAGTACATGCCCCTGTGTGCAGTAGCAAAAGCAGATCCACTCATCAGTGCTCTCAGAAAAATGGACCAGGGTGTGCAGGCCAGGAAGAAACTGCAAACGAGCTATAGCACCACTTTCTGGAAAACAAAGGAAGTTTCCAGCAGTCAGCATGGTGAGTTATAAGAAAAGATGAAGAGATTAAGGATTCTGCCACAAGAGGGAGCGATAAGAGTGGAACAAGTCTTCCCATTAAAAAACTGAGGAAACCTTCAGGTGGGAATCCCAACAGTCACTGCCACCTCAACTGTGGTAACAGCAACACAAAACTACAAGGAACATGACAGATCAAGAAAATGTCACCCCCAAAAGTCACAGCACTTCTGCCTCTTCTGTCACAGGGCGCTGACCCATCACAAAGAGGCTGAACAGTAGTCTTGCCTTTGCCAGGAGGGAAAGAACACCAGGTATTGGTTCAGACAGATAATGCCTCCCAAAGGAACTACTTGTACAAGTAAATCTCTGATATTTCTACCACTTTATATGCAACTGTGCTTCTCACAGACTTTTCCCTGCTCCAAATGTTCTCTCCTCCCTCCTCCCTCTCCCAAACCACAGGCTAACTCCATCCTTGGCCCTCCTTTAAAACCCAGTGCAGTGTCACTCCCAGCTTCTCCTCACGTGCCCTGGCTGTGAAGTGACCCGTGAGCTTTCTCAGTGCCACGTGCGTGGCTCTGTCAGCTCTCACCATTGTTTTGGTGGTTTGGGTTGACTTATCCGTGACAGAGACTGTCTGGCTTAGTTCTGTCCTCCATATTGTTCAGCAACATGCCTGGCATAGTAGAGAGTCAATAAATCATCTTTGATGAGTGAGAAGCTAATCACTTTTATTTCAGTAGAATGTTAGCACTTGGATGTGATGGGTTGCTGTAAAAGAAGTCTCAAAAGAAAGTAACTCTATACCGAGTGCGGGTGATTTCCCAGCAAGTTCTTCAGTACCTTGTAAGCAAAGTTTCTAGACCTAAGAGTGAAAGACATAATACTACAACAGAAAAGGGGGGAAAACCCAAAGGTCCTTAACTAAGGGACAGTACACAGAGGTATATGACACCCAAGCAGATCACAATCACTGCGCTTAAGTTTACACATTACTTTTCTGTTAATCCTGAGGACATTTTTTCCATTGATTTTTAGAGTGGAAGGGAGGGAGGGAAGGGAGGAGTAAAGAGAGACAGGAACATCAATATGATAGAGACACATGGATTGGTTGCCTCCTGCACGCACCCCAACTGGGACAGGGATTGAACCTGCAACCCAGGTACATGCCCTTGATGGGGAATTGAACCCATAACCCTTTGGTGCATGGGCTGGTGCTCAAACCACTGAACAACACTGGCCAGGGGAAGTTTACATATTTTTAAATGATTAAGAAGTATCTGGGCTGACATGATGGTTGCTTCAAATAACACATGAAATTACTTCTCAACTGTATATAATATAAGAGACTGTCATTTCTGGTTCATGGACCATATGAACACCCCTTGTGAATACAACCTGAATCTATCCCCGGCCAGGGTTGCTCAGTGGTTGAGTGTTGACCTATGAACCAGGAGGTCACGGTTCAATTCCCAGTCAGGGCACATGCCCAGGTTTCAGACTCGATCCCCAGGAGGGGGTATGCAGGAGGCAGCCCGTCAATGATTCTTATTGATGTTCCTGTATCTCTCTCTCTTCCTTTCTCTCTGAAATCAATAAAAATATATTAAAAACAACAACAACAGAACCTGAATCTAGGGCTCCACATCTAACTACATACCATCAATTCGTGTCCAGGCTCTGCAGTTGTTACCACATGATCCACTACCCTGGTCATCCTCAGCTGCCTGACCTTAACAGAAGGAACCTCTCCGATCAGTTTCCCTTCCTTTGACTTATCACCAATTCTTTATTAGCCAGTTGGCACCACTCAGGCCAAAAGGACCACCCTAAAGACTGACGTGGAGGTCATATAATCCTGTCTCAATTTTCTACATAAGGCAGGGGTGGGGAACCTTTTTTCTGCCAAAAGCCATTTGGATATTTATAACAAAATTCTTGTGTCATACAAAATTACCAACTTAAAAATGAACCTGCTATGTTTGGTCAAACATTTAACTCCCCCCTAATGCCCTGGCAGGGCCAGACCAAATGATTTCACAGGCCTTATAGGGCCCTCTGGACGTTCCCCACCCCTGACAAGGGATGTCTGTTAGCAGAACTCTCTGCCTATGGAGTACAATGCTTTTGGTCAAATTTGAAGGTTTTGATGTCGTTAGCCAAAAATTAAAGGAGATGGTAGAAAAATCGATGACAAACAAGCAGAAGATAGAATAGAAGAGATTCCCACAACTACCTTCTCTTTTCTTCTCTAGCAAACTGCTTTCGAGCACAGACTATGGCATCAGAAAAACCTGGAATTAAACCTCAAATCCGTTTAACCTCAAAGACTAGGTTCCTCATCCGAAAAATGAGGCGGTATATACCAATTCAGGGCTGTAATGCTACGTAGTTCGTGTAAAATGCCAGTGGTGCTTAATAAGCATCTTTCATGTGTATAATTGCTTTCTTCCCGTAAGTCTAATGATCTCATCTATGTTGTTAGAGAAAAGATTAAAAAGCTCTTTGGAAATACTATGTGCACTTTCATGTTTACTTACTGGATAAGAAACACACATGAAGACCCCTCCAATAGTAGTAGTACAGCCAGGGAAGTGGCTGGCCTTGCAAGACTGGTGCCATCTCTTGGACATTAGTCACGTTAAAACGTACACCTGAGAGTTTTCCCCACAAGTTGAGCTGCACTGAGAATCTCTCTGTAATAGCACGTGTCTTTCTTTTCCAACCTGTCATCGTTTTGGGGTGAGCCAACACAAAGAGTGGTACATTCAGAGTCTGGCATAGGCTGGTGGGTGCTTAGGAAGTGTTGAATGAATGAGTCTAGAGGACCACTGCCCTAAAATGTGCTCCGGTATCCAAAATTCAGATTAGAGAAGTTCCTACGACTGATAAGTTTACAAAGACATTGTAAATATTTCTCGAGAAGTTCTTGGGATATTTGCATCAGGATCACTTGGAAGTCTTATAGAGCCTAAGGGGTAGGGAATCTAACTTTTAAAGCATCTATTGTGATTCTTAGGCAACTTGGAATATGCAACCCACTGTCCTAGAAGCTGAGGAGTGGGCAATAATATCTGACTTCCATAAGCGTCGTAAATGAACAAAACTATTTATGGCCCCGAGAATAAAGTATTATGGGGCATAAATAAAAAGGATAGCTCCTCCTTTTATTGAGTTTATATGATTAATTTGAGAAAACAAAACAAAATAAATCCAAGTTCAAGATACTCTAGTTATAATGGTTCTCAACCTGTGGGTCGCGACCCCTTTGGCGGTCGAACAATCCTTTCACAGGGGTCGCCTAAGACCATCCTGCATATCAGATATTTACATGACGATTCATAACAGTAGCAACATTACAGTTATGAAGTAGCAACAAAAATAATTTTGTGGTTGGGTCACAACATGAGGAACTGTATTTAAAGGGCCAGAAGGTTGAGAACCACTGCTCTAGTAGAAAAAAGTATCAATGAACTGTTCAAGCGTCAAAGTTAGTAAAAGGTCCAAGAGTTAATCAAGAACAGTTTCAGGAAGAGGTAAACTCTAAGCCAGGTTTTTAAACAGATGGGCGTTTGAGAAGCCAGAGCTCAGTAGGACTGAACTATTCTGCAGAATTCAGTATCACCCTGCACTGGACACTTCGCCTCCAATTCAGCCACTGCAGATGCTTTGCTGGGGAGCAGGCGGAGACCAGACAAGACATTTGCAAACCAAATAGACTGGGGTTTCTACTTTTCCTTAGGGTTTTAATAGTGACCTAAGTCAAATCCAAAAATAGCTGAAAATTTCATCTAACTACCCCCGACCTTTTTTTTATGCCCATTTCCCAACTGTAAAATTTTGCCAAACATTTGCTGTAATTAAGGAGTGGTTGGGAGGACTATTTTAACAAACACAATTTTAAATTC